CCAGCCCCTGGGCAGGACCATGGCCACGGCAGGGCTGAGCTGAGTGGTGGAGGAGGCAGCGCGGCCCCTGGAAGTGACTGCGGGGAGCGGGCGGGACGGCTGGGAAGGCGGTTCTCCAGGGAGGACACTCCCAGGGGCTCCTTAGGGAGAGCAGCTGGAAGGAGAGGAAGCTCAAGTGAAAATGCAATGAGCTCAGAAGCCTTGTTCTAAGGCAAAGCCCTGTAAACCTTTTTTATTTAAAACTAGAGGCCTGGCTTGCACGAAATTCATGCAAGAGGAGGCCTTCCTTCCCCCAGCTGCCAGCACCGGCTTCCCTCTCGCACCCTGACCGACCCGCAGGCACTTGGGACCTAGGCTTCCCTTGCAGCCCTGGCTTTGTCCAGAAGGACATCTGGTCTAATTAGCATATTATGCTTTTATTATTATAGATTATTATAGATGTTTGGAGCCAAAAAGGAAAACAAAGTTAGGAGGGAGGATTTTGCATTAACTATTTCAAATTATTGTATAGTTCTATTAAATAATAACAGTATATCAAATAGTGATGCTTTTTACATTTTACCCCGTGAGGAATTTTACTGTGTTTATCTTGGGCTGCTATTACGATAATTGTCCTGCCTGAAGGATCAAGTTTTACCCATTTAAGGAATTTTATATAGAGTTTTGCTCGCATATATGATACACAGGATAATAATTCAGTAAAAATGGAAAATAGACAGCTAAAATTCTCTCAGGTCTAAAAACCACTAATAGTTGTTCATGTAATATAATCTTAAAAAGAGGAGGACGTGGAACTTTTTAATGACCAAATTGACAAGCAATGTCTGTGTTTTGGTGTACCTCATCTTAAATAACCATATGCCCCCCAAATTACACTGAGTAATTACTTTAGGGGTTTTATCGACCTTTTACTCTGGACTAGTTGCCACTGCCACTTTCCCGCGTCATGCTCCTCCCTCAGTCTAGAAGGCCTGAATTTCAGATTTCTACTTTCTTCCTCTTTGCCAGAGAAAAGTCTAAACACAGTGTCACATACTTTTTGATGGTATTGATCTTGATTTTTCTAGACACTCGCACCCCCCACATCTAAGTACTGGCTGGTTTGCAGAAGTCCCTTCCTCCGTCCTTCCTGCATTTCCAGGATTGGTTCCACGGGACTAAACAAACTCTTAATCTTCACTGGACAGCCAGCTGGCTACACCAAAGGTGATCCTTACACAAAACAACAAGAGGATGGTATCACTGAATGACTGCTTTGAGCATATTAATTTCCAGATGTCTTTTGTTTACCAAACACAATGTGAAAAACAAGGGTATTCATCTACTCTGTAGTGCTGTAACAAAATGCTGCACGCTGGGTGGCTTAAACTACAGAAATTTATTTTCTCACAGTTCTGAAGTGTGGAAGTCCAACATCACAGTGCCAGCAGGGTTGGTATCCTGTGAGGGCTCTCTCCTCGAGGTGCAGACGGCCACCTTCTCACCGTGTGCTCACATGACCTCTCCTCTGTGTGAGCACGTAGAGAGCGAGAGGGAGAGATCTTCCTCTTTTTTTTTCCTTTTTATTGAATTTCTTGGGGTGATACTGGTTAACAAAATTACGTAGGTTTCAGGTGCACAATTCTACAACACATCATCTGTACACTGTATTGTATATTCACCACCCCAAGTCAAGTCTTCATCCATCACCATTTGTCCCCATTATACCTTCCTCCACCTCCCCTCATCCCCCCTCTCCCTGGCAATCACCACATGTTGTCCATATGCATGAGTTTTTCCTCCCTTTTTTTCCTCTTTTGCTCAATCCCTCCACCCCACCCCTCACCCAGCCCCCTTTTCCCCAACAGCTGTCAGCCTGCTCTCTATCTATGAGTCTTTCTCTATTTTTGCTTGTTAGTTCCTTTTGTTCATTAGATTCCACATATGAGTGAAACCAAATAGCACTTGTCTTTCTCTGGCTTATTTCACATAGCATAATGCTGTCACAAACTGTAAGATTTCCTTCTTTTTTATGGCCGAGTAGTATTCCATTTGTGTAAATCACTTTTTTTTTAATTGTCTAAAGTTTTACATAAGTCTCCTTTTTCCCCAATTGACCTCCCGGCCCCAGCCATTTCCAACCCAGGCAAGCCCCCACCGCCCCAGTGTCTGTGTCCATTGGTTATGCTAATATGCATGCATACAAGTCCTTTGGTTTCTCTCTAACCCCCCCCCCCCACCTCCCCTGCCATTTGTCTCTGGATCTATTCTTGTTCATCAAATTATGTTGATCATTATATCCCACATAAGAGTGAGATCATGTGATATTTATCTTTCTCTGACTGGCTTATTTCACTTAGCATAATGCTCTCCAGTTCCATACATGCTGTTGCAAATGGTAAAAGTTCCTTCTTTTTGTATAGTGGCATAGTATTCCATTGTGTAGATGTATCAAAGTTTTTTAATCCACTCATCTGCTGATGGGCACTTAGGCTGTTTCCAAATCTTAGCTATTGTAAATTGTGCTGCTATGAACATAGGGGTGTGTATATCCTTTCCGATACAATCCAACTGTTGATCATTTCTACTATCCCCCCAATTTTGCCCATGCCTATTTGAAGTCAATCTTCATTCTCATCCCTAGCCATACACAACCATTGATCTTCTTTCTGTTGCTATTGATTTGCCTTTTATGGATATTTCATATTAATGGAAATTAATAATATGTGTTTTTTTGCATCTGGTCACTTTCACTGAGCATGTTTTCAAGGTTCATCCATATTGTAACATGTATCAGAACTTCATTCCTTTCTTATTGCTGAATAATATTCCACTGTATGAATATACCACATTTTATTTATCTGTTATTAGTTGATAATACATTTGGGTTATTTCCACTTTTTGGCTATTATGAATAACACATCTATGGATATTCACTTTCATGTCTTTTTGTAGGCATATTAGAGTGGAATTACTGGATATTTATGGTAACTTTATACTTAACATTTTAAGAAACTGCCAATTTCCCCCCAAAATGGCTGTTCCATTTTAAATTTCCCTCAGGAAAAAGACTCTAATTTCTTCAGATCCTTGCCAACACTTACTTCTTTTTGATTTTCTAATTGTATGAAGTGACATCTAATTGTAGTTTTAATTTACATTTCCCTAATGAATGATAATGTTGAGCATCTTTCCATATGCTGATTGGCCATTTGTATATCTTGGTTAAAATGTCCATTCAAACCTTTTGCTCATTAAAAAACAACTTTTAATTTTATTATGGCTTTAGATTTATAGAAAAATTGTGAGGAGAATACAGACTGTCCATATTCCTCACACGCAGTTTCCCCTATTGTTAACATTAGAGTGTGGTACATTTGTCACAATTAACCGAAGTCCACACTTTGCTCAGATTTCCTTCGTTTTTACTTAAGGCCCTTTTTCTGTTCCAGGACCCCATCTGGGACAGCACATTACAAATAGTTGTCATGTCCCCTTAGGCTCCTCTTGGCTGTTTAGCATTTCTCAGACTTTTTTTTACCTTGACCTTTGATAACCTTAGCAGTTTTGAGGAGGATTGGTCAGGTATTTTGTAGAATGTCCCTTCATTGGGATTTGTTGGATATTTTTCTTGTGATTGGGATGGGGTTATGGGTTTTTGAGAGGAACACCTCAGAGGTAAAGTGCCTGTATTAGTCTGCATGGGGCTGCCATAACAAACACCATAGACTGGCAACTTAAACAACAAAAGTCTGTTCTCCCACAATCTGGAGGCTGGAAGTCCAAGATCAATGTGTCAGCAGGGTTGGTTTCTCCTAAGGCTTCTCTCCTTGGTTTGTAGATGGTTCTCTTCTCCCTGTGTCCTCACATGGTTTTCCCTCTACCTGACTGTGTCCTACTCTCCTCTCATATAAGGACACCAGTCATACTGGATTAGGCTCCAACTCAATGACCTCATTTAACGTCAATTACCTCTTTAAAGATCCTATCTTCAAATACAGTCACATTCTAAGGTGACGGGAGTTAAGACTGAACATATCAATTTGGGGTGGGGCATCATTCAGCCCATAGAGTGCCATTCTCATCAGATCAAGGGTCCATGCTATTAACATAATGATGTCGATGTTGACCTTGATCACCGGCTGAGGTGTGTTTGTCAGGTTTCTCCACTGTTTTTTCCACGTAGAGTAGAAATCATGATGTGCAGTCCACACTTAAGTAATGGGGATTATGTTCCATAAAACCCTTGGAAGAAACATAGGGTAAATCTTCATGACCTTAGTTTTGGCAATAGAATCTCAGATATGACACTAAAAGCACAGCAACAAAATAGAAAATAGATAAATTGGAGTTCATAAAAACTCAAAACTTCTGTTATCAGAGGATATTATCAAGAAAGTGAAAACACAGCCTACAGAATGGGAGAAAATATTTGCAAATTATCTACACTAATAAAAGAGAAACATGGTAATTAGCATACGACCGCTACCCTTTTCATTGGCTAATCAGTGAGTATATGCAAATTAACTGTCACTGTTTTCTTGGGATATATTCCTAGAAGTGGGATCACTGGGTCAAATGGGAGTTCCATTTTTAACTTTTTGAGGAAACTCCATACTGTCTTCCACAGTGGCCGCACAAGATCTTCCTTTTTTAAAATGTTTTCTTAATTTTTCTTCTTTAATGGATGGTAGAGACAGGACTGCAAAGTTAGTCCTTTCTTTGTGTGTACAGGAATGCCTCATCTTCCTCTTCTCATATGGCCACAGTCCTATTGGATAAGGGCCCCACCCTTAGGACCTCATTTAACCTTAATTATTTCCTAAAGACCCTATCTCCAAAGACAGTCACTTTGGGATATAATAGTACTTCAACACATGAATTTGGGAGAGGTTCACAAATCAGTCCATAGCAATAACCACAGTACCAGGAAACACAGCAACAATATTTGTGGCATGAGAGGTATTTTAAATACCTTAAATTGAGAATACCTATGTTTAAAGATTTAATAATATATCAGATTTTTAAGTCCAGCCATACTGATGGCAAGGAGATGAGTGTTGAACAGTGGCATAATTAATTTTTATATGGTAGGGACAAATAATTTTTATATGTGTATATATCAGTACACTAATGTTAGATTTCTTTAGAGAAAACTCAGTGAGGGTGGAGTTGAAGAAGTGGAGAAGCCGTAACGCACTGGCTATTGTTAATGGGCATAACAAAAATTCTGAGTGGAATGGAGCTCAAGTAGGTCCTCTGAGTAGAGGACAGAAACGTTAGTATTTATTACTACTGTTGTAGTGCTTTAGATTTTATTTGTTATTTGTTTGTTTTAACAGTATTTACTCTGCACTAGTTTGAACATGAATCAAAGCAGCGATGGATGTGTGAAAAAGATTAGCAGTGTGAATCTTGACAAACTTATAAATGACTTCTCACAGATAGAAAAGGTATGTAAAGATATCAAACAGTTGAAGTGAATAGGGAAAAAGTGGAACAGATTTTGCCAGTGGAAGGAGTTGGAAAGAAAGAAAAATGTACAACCCAAAATGAGCAGGGTAAAGACAATGGGAATGTACTTTGCTATGTAAGCCCTTAAAAATCCATATTTAAAATATATATGGTTTTGGCTCATTTGCACTAATGCATCAAAATGTTTCTGGGTCAAGGCAATAAATAATTGATACAGTTTTGCTAAAGTTAAAGGGAAAATACCTACTTAAATGCCCAAGATGGCCATAAACTCAGGAATGATTTAGTAAGAATTGAAGTAGACTCAGTCCTCAGTGTCTTACCATTATGACTAAAAGGTTTTTTAGTCTTTCCTATTCTACCTCTTCCCTTTCCTTCTCTCTTGCCTAAAAGCAGATCCACTTGAAGTCCTCCCTCCATAACTCTGGACAAGTTTCATGATATGGTATTTTTTAAGAGTCTTATCTCTTACAGACACATAAAGATGGTAATATTTATAGATGAAATAAAATAATGTCAGGGAGTTGCTTTGAGATAAATTCAGAAGTGAAGACAACAGGGAAGTGGCTATAGAAGATACGAGACTGGTCATGAATTGATAATTTCTGAAGGTGTTTGATGAGTTTATAGCAGCTATTATACTATTCACAAAGATATCAGAGAGATATATTCAAGAATGTTTATTTATTGTCTGCAAGGGCAAAAAAGTGGAAACAACACAAATTTTCCTCAATAGTGAACTACTTAAATAAACTGCAGAATATGCATACATGAAACTCAGTGCAGCTATTAAGAGAATGAGATAGACCTATATGTGTTTATATGACATCATCTCAAGAGAATAGTACTAAGTGCAACATAGTACAGAGCAGAGTATAATGTGATCCTTCTCTTCAGGTATCTAATCTAATAAAAGAGAAACATGCAAATTGACCATACCTTTGCTACCCCCCAAGCCACACCCACCGGCCAATCAGAGCGACTATATGCAAATCAACCCAACCAAGATGGCGGCCAGCAGCCACGGAGCTGGAGCAAGCAGGAGGCTTGGTTGCCCTGGCGATGGAGGAAGCCAAGCTTCCTGCCTGCCCTGGCC